ACCAATACAAATTCCAAAAATAATAACATTAACATCAAAAAGCTGTAACCAAAAGATTAACCCAAGTCCAAAGCTGGGTTATAATCGGTTATAAGTGGTAAATACCAAAAGCAAATCAGCTGATATGTACGTCACAACTTCCCCTACTTTGGTTAAAACCGCGACGGCGGAAATGCATTGGTTATAACCAAATAATAATCATTCCAGGCTGAAAATCGCCTCATACTTGTCGAAACAATGCCTGTATTAGCTGGGTTCGGCTATTCAGCGCGGAGTTGGAGTGGAGTGAACAGAGTTAATGGAGTCACCCCTAATACGGTAAAAAGCAATACCCGAACCTTAACCCGAACGGCTGGAGTGCGAATGGCGTCACTCGGAGTGCACGGAGTGAGCAAGCCGAACTCACCTATTGTCGAAGTGACTGGCGCAACCAGCACAACACGTGGATTCGGCTTGCTCACTCCGTGCACTCCGAGTGACTCCATTCGCACTCCAGCCGTTCGGGTATTGCTTTTTAGGGTATTAGGGGTGACTTCATTAGCGTTCGACTCATTGAGGTAGTATATAGGGAAGGAGGTGACGTCACCTGACCAGAAGCGGTAGCGGGTCCGCCATACTGGTGCTGGTTTTGTGTCATAACTTACTGTCATTACAACTGTCATTCTCAATTTCTGATTTCGAGACGTAATACCCAATTTTGGCTTATTTTGGTGTTTTTTCGACCTGCTTTTGTTGTGTATGAGAGAAGTATAATGTCTTCATGTGCAGTAAGAAGTTGCTGCAGCAGGTTTTACGTAGAAAAGAAGAAATCACCGGGAATATCATTTCATAGGTGAGTATAAACAACATTCAGGATCAGACGGATCGGACTTCACATTTTTTATTGTAGTTTTAATATGTAGTTATGTTTTGAGAATGCAGATTGCAGAAAGAAGATACTTGAATATTGGAATGGCATACCTGACAAAAAATAAACCAAATAAACCCATTAGTGAGAGACATCAAAGCAATAATATTACATTATTTAAGGGTCAATGAAATTTTTATGTAGCCAATAAGATTAAGCGATGTGGTAATTTTTTTTTATATCCTGCCTTTATATTTTTGCTAACATTTATTAAATAGTTGTTTTTTTCGAAGTGTTTTTGTTAAATAACGATATTTTTGTTCCTTCTGTATTATAATGTGATATAAATATATTATCCCCACATTCAGAAACAATTTTTATGTCATACCAATACATTATTATTGTGTTTTTATACCTTAGATACCATCTACATAATTCATTACTTTATGCCCGTGCGGGCATAAAGTACACATTATGGCCCGCGCGGGCATAAAGACGCAAAAAACAGTTTTCAATTAACTTATTCTTTATTAAGAAAATATAAATTTACGCTGATAAACATATTATTTTTGTCAAAAAATTATGATGTTTGCACACTGATGACAATTTGCGAAGTGACACTTTTTTCCCAGGTATTTATTATTCACAACCAACTGGTATGACATGAAAGTTTGTATGCACCACGGGTACTAATAGATATACCCTCGGGCGACTTACGAACCCTCGGGCCAGAGGCCCTCGGCTTTGTAAGACTGTCGCCCTCAGGGCATAATCATCTACTTAGTACCCTTGATACATAAATAACTATTAGGCCACATAAAAACAATTAAATACATGTAAAAATTGAAATACCAATAGAGTTTGAATTTTAAATATATTTGAGCTGAATACAGCCCTGATCATGCGGCCATATTGGTGCTGGAATAACCTCGAAAAAATTATGCCTTTATCAATGCATACTCGTATATGGCAACAGCGTCTCCTTTTATATACTATCTCAATGGTTCGACTATACAGAGTGGAGTAAATAGAGTTCACTCTAAAAGTTCCACCCAATGACCTATTGACACAGATAGACAGAACAGTAAACAATGATATTGGTTGACTACATCCCAGGAACCGTATCTCTTCCCACTATTTATTAATCCTTGTGTTATATTGTATCTTTCTCTAACACGTGGAATGCGATTATTTTCCAATGAAAATTAGCAACGCTGCAAGAAAATAAATTCCAACCTCGATTTTCACCTTTCCACCAATCAGCGGCTTCTATCTATTCAATTGTCATGTCAATATGCGACATACCTGTATTCTAAAACAATTTCCATTTGTCAATCAGGGCGCACTGAGTGTATCCGCATATTTTTCTAAAATCATGTGAAATATAAGGATAAGAATACACTTTTGCAGCACTGATTCTGGTTTCATTTTCAGAGTTGCCAAATATGCGATAGTAAAGTGGGGGCGGAGTTAGCGGAAGCATTTGAATCTCCTAGCCGCTTTCAAAGCTCATCCCCCCTGGCCCATATATATGTAGGTAGTCAACCAAAACAAAGCTATTTTATCAATGGGATGTTCTGTCTATCTGTGTTAATAGGTCATTGGTTCCACCTCGGAAAGAGAATTTTTTAGAGTAAGCATGCGCAGAAGTGAAATGTGTAAACTTTCAAGCTTGTGTGTTGTGTTGTCACGTTGTGGTTGTTACAAAAAAATTAGAAATCGTTTGTGTGAATGCGAGAATTAGTAAAATCATCGAGTAAAATAATTGATCTGATTTTGAAATTTATTAAACATGATGGAAAAACTTCCTTGGCAAAGTTAAACAGAGACAAAACCATCATATTCTTTATTGTGGAGGAATTGGAAAGTTCTAAAGTCACGGTTGACTGTTGTTTTAAAACAAAACAAATCAGCTGTTTGGCATTTTTGCTCGTGTATTAATTTTTCACTCTAATCACTCCTAGATCACATGACAAAAATCTGTTCTTACTCCACTCCAACTTTGTGCTGAATAGCCGAACCCAGCTGATAACGTGAGAGATGCAGTGACGTCACTGTGTGTTTCAAATTTAGAGTATTTTGCTAATTTATTTAAATATGAAGCATAACTGCTAACCTCAACACGCTCTTTTAGAATATGTAATAAAAAATATGCTATACGATCCTGTTTTTGTTTAAACAGATACCAAAAACAAAACTCAATATGCTTCATCCAAAAAATTGAAAAGGGAAGGTAGAAAGGAAAAGACAGAACGATGAAATCCAAAGAGAAAACATAAAAAACGAGAAAATTAAATGTATTTAAGTCATCAGTCAGTCATGTAATACTTAACACAGATTAAGAAGCGGACTACTCTAAAAGTTTTAAAGGCTGTCGGAATTAACTCTTATTTAGTGATGAAGCCAGAGGGAAGAGTGGGATATTATGTTCATGCTGGTCACTTGAAACCATCCTAGTAAGGCAGCTATGAAAAATTTATAGAAAACCCGAATACTCCTGAAAATATAACGGAGTATTCTTTTTACCAGAAATTTGGAAAAATAATGTCCCACCCTCGGTAGAAATATTAGAACTAAAAATTCCTACTCCTATTTCTCCCATACTAAAAATCCTTTCAAAAGAGATGATGTAGAAGTTTCTGACTATTCATAAGCATAACTCCAGTCCTATCGCGTAGATCTCAAAGATCTAATAAGGCTCCTGACAGGTTGAACCTTTGACCATTGTGAGGATCTTGCCAAAAGAAATGTAATGAACGCGCCTAATGCAACATTGTAAACGCAGCATAAGAGGCTTATTCTGTAACTTATAACGACGTCGTTATTAAACGATTGTCGTTAGCTACCTAACGACGTTCTTGATTCAGTAACTTTTAGTTGTCGTTGTAACGATAAAATGAACGCAAAAGTGTCGTTATATTACAACAGCCCATTGGCCCTCGTTACAAGCATAACGATCGTTACAGTTGCATACTGGTAGTGTTTGTACTATATTTTACTGGCGATGTTGATTGATAATGCATCCTGAACTAGTAGAAGCTGCTCTTGTTGAAGACACAACACCTGAGGTTGTTTCATAGACATGTACGCAATACCTTGGAATTGCCAGAGGAATGTATTTGTCAAATGTTTAGACCGGACGTTGTAACTGCTCAAAGTCTTTTCACACAATTGTTGCATTTTCTGGAAAACGTTTCAAGGACTACCAATAAAAGGTTCTTCACCTTCTTGACACAAGTTACCCAGAAACTACTTATTCAATTATAAAGCAATGTTGGCCGCTATATTCATGAGGTGGTAGATGCACTGGACAATTTCGCGAACGTGTATATTCGATTCCCTCAGAATCCCCAAGAAACAACCGCTGTAATAGATGGGTTTTCTACAAAATTACGCATTCCAGGAATAGCTGGTTGTGTCGACGGTAGTCACATCAAAATTATTACACCAATGCATCTGCAACTTGTTCACAGTGCTGTCGTCTTTTTGAACAGAAAGAAGTTTTATAGCATCAATTGTCAGCTAATTTTTGATGTAAATTTGAAGATCAGAGAAGCATAAATGCCTACTTTCCAAGTTGTGTGGAACGAAGTTGTAGTCTCCCTCGATAACGACAGCTTTACTAAAATTGTCGTATCCGCTGATGGTTGACAGTTTAGTTTTAGTTTTGACAGAAGTGGGGTCTCAGTCAGGGATCTTATCTTGATTTTGTTTATGGTGTCCATGTGAGTTTTAAGTATAATAAAATTGAGTCTTTGAGTCTCAAGACTTTTAATGTTGTGTACCTAAATACACAATAGAACTGAACGAGGTTCCCAGATTAGAGAAGTTTGAAAAGTGAAAAAGCAATCAGACAACTAAAGAACAATATAATTAAATTATATTTTTGTAGTACCTACCTATTAGATGTAGGTCATTTATTAATATTATATGCGTCACAACATCCAATACTTTATGTAAATCGAAGGCTGTAAAAATGACGTAAAAATTTAATTTTTCGTGTAATTATTGCATTTGAATACACACATCAAAAAATTATTTGAAATCTGACAAAAAATTACTTTCAGCCTAGCTTAAAACATATAGGGTGAGGCTATATAAAATAATTTTTATTAGAAAGGATTTCAAATGTTTACCAAAATGTTATTTTTACCTGATTTTAATTCAGCATTTCCGTGAATTTTGGAATAAACCCAATTGATTCCTTCCCTTACCTCATCATCTTTGCTTGGCGGAACTAAGAAATGAATATAAAAATATATATAACATATACCTTATGTTATAAATAAGTAAAGTTTAAAGAATTGGTACTGCCAAGATGTAATTTAGTTTTGCAAACAAAATTAAGAAAAGTTAAAATATCAAGGAAATTTCCCTGTCCCAGTTCAATGAATGAAATTTGACCAAAATAAACGTAAAGTTAACTTACTTTGCGAAAAGTTCTGGTTTATAATGAGACTCGAAATAAATACTATAAAACACAATTTCCTGAACATGATGGCACAGCACAGCTTCACGTTCAAGTCGATTGTTTAAGTTTTGATATTGAAAATTAATTATTTTTAATTGACCATTGTTTTATGATTGCAACTTTTTGCGAAACTAAAATTTTAATATTTTTATGTGTTGCAATAATGAAAAATTATTAAATGACGAATGTCTTAATTTAGCTTTTCCAATTACTTTTTAATTAAATTCACCCAGAACATTATTATCTGACTTCAAAAGGATACTGTAGATAGCCTAAAAACACCAATACCTATACATTTAGCCAAATATTATGTAAGGATTGCAGTTATAGATACTACTTGAATGAAATGTCTTGTAAAGTATAATATGTAAATCCGATCAATTTCATATTACATCATCAGAGGGCAAAACACTAAAAAGGGCTTGTAACGATGTTCACAATAACAGACCAAAATAATCAAATTTCAAAGTTTTTAAAAACTTTTTAAACAATAACACACAAATCAAACTAAACCCCGGGTCAAAAGGGCATCATGGCCTTGAAATCTGTCTCCTCGAAATCCCGAGAAAACCGACATCTTAGGGTCGTTTAAAACGGGATTCTGCGGCATAGAAATTGTCGAGTCATTGCCTGGAAGGATTGGATTGGCTTCCAGACAATAGAGGGAATTTTCCTTCCGTTGGGAAAAAGTCGTGGTTGTTTTGTACAGTTTTGTTCCAAATCGGGAGTTTAGTCGACGTCGCTGAATTTGGAAGAGTTTCACAATGCTAATAGCCACAATTTATATTACAATGTAGCGTTGTCGGTCGAAATAGTCAACTAGTTTGATTTTAACGTTTCAATATAAAACTCCAGGACACAACACGAAACAAGATTTGGACAAAATCCAATTGATAAAAAACATAATCTTCAACAAAAATATGTAAATCTTGAAGACAGGCATGCAAAAGCCTCTTGTCGCATCATAAACGCGATAACGGTTGTAAATTTGGGAAGGAATTTTACTTGTCAGCGCCCTAATGGAAATTCCTTAGCAAAAGGGCAAATATTTACAAGCTGTTTTACATCTTGCTTGATTTATAATAGTAGCTCGAGTAATAGGTACTTTCAGACATTAAGGCCTTTCAGGCCAAAGATGGATGGGAACGAAGCATAATAATTAGCATACGATGCAAGAACACAGAATACGAGAACAAAATTTTGAAGCAACAGAAAATTATCAGAGTATTAGTAGCATTCTCCATAACCTAAGTGAGAATGTGGAAGTCACTGTTGATTTGTTTTCTCACTTTTTCTCATCGGTTTATGGAAAATCAAATAAAAATAAAAATGGAAAGCCTGTTAGGCCCATTATCACAATCGATGGTGACCAGAAGATGTCTGACGGATTAGGGTTAACTAGTAAAATTTCGTTCCATAATCTCAGGTAGGTATACCAAAATCTTCTGGCTAATCGTCAGTATACTTTACCAGCGCTTTATGTTCGGGTTTACCCTAGGTTTTCTCAAAAAATAACCTACAACTACTGTATATTTTTTTATTTCCTACTGAACTATTATAACCATATAATACCTTGGTTACGGTAATCAGAAACAGGTCCCAAGGGAGTTAAGGATTTCATAACTCCCGCTTTTACCTTGAATAGGTGAAACTTTGACAACAAATAGAAATTTTGGTTTATGGTTTATTTCTTTATAAAAATGAACAAAATACAGTAAATTCAGTAGGAAATGAAATTATCTATGTACCACGGGAATTATCAGGTGTTAATACCCTCATAATTCCCTTAATACATAAATTACTATAATGACTATTTCACTAGAGAGTTTTACACTGGCAAAATTTCATAGGAACCGCCGATTTCCTACTGACAAAAATTCTACCTGTTCCTCCTGGACAAAACCAACATGATGGTTTTTCAACGACAATACCTTCCTGTGATGACAGCTATCTTGATTGCTGTTACACAGTTTGTTTATGAGTTTCTACCTAAGTTTTGTCATGTGATAAGTGTGGTAAAATGATTGTCGCCATCTATGATGCAATACACCAAACTTGTAATGTTGGAGTTGGCAAAACAGCTCTCTAGCAAAACCTAGATTTAAGTTTAGTTGGCAACACTGTTTGTTGTTCAAAATATCAGTTTGACATGTCTAGAAAAATATGAGTTGTTGTTTTCGTTTTGCACGAATGTTTTTGCATTATTTTTAAGACTTTGGAATAATTAAACAGTTAAATCAAACTCACAAAGTTCGTTTTATTTACATGGAAAACGCTGCACAACCCATAGGTTATGCGCCCAGGCTGCAAAGAGCAATATTAAGTGAGGAATCAGTGCAAAAACTTCGGAAACTGTGAGTAGAGCCAGTAGAGGTTATGTTTAAAAATTCGTTTTAAAAACGATTAAAAAGTTAAAACGTTTTTACACGGAATTGTGGAACTTGTGGAATACTCAAGGAATATAAGAATATTATAATAAAATATGACTTCAAACGTGCCGCAAATTAGCAACATCAAACCTTTCGATGAAAGCGGTCTTTTAAATTGGGAATTTCGGGTCAGCCTCGTTCTGGAACAAGCAGGAGTGCTTTCTGTTTTATCACAGGCACGGCCTGCAGCAACAAGAGAAGAATTTGGGGCCTTCACCAAAAATGACGTAAAAGCACGGAATATCTTGATACAATGTCTCTCGGATTATGTTTTGGAACTGGTCAAGGGAAAAACTACTGTTAAGGAAATCATTGATGTACTTCGTGGAACATACTGTAAAACTGGAATAGCAACACAGGTACAACTACAAAGGAAACTAACTTACAATACATTGAAGGAACTCCTCTTAACTCGTTTATAACTAAATTTGAACACACTATTTTGGAACTAAAAGCTGCTGGTGGAAAACTTGGAGAGAGTGAAGTAATTTCACAATTACTTTCTTCAGTGCCCGAGTCATTTCAAGGCATAGTAACCGCCCTTGATGTAATATTCACTCATGATAAAACAAAAGTGACTTAAGAGTTTGTTAAAAACAAACTACTAATGTCTTGATTGACAAAGGCATATGATGAGGAACAAACAGTAAATGATGCAGTATTTGTAGGACACAGAGGACATAGGAATTATGGAAATAGAAGAAATTTTGGAAACAGAGGAAATATAGGTTGTGGTAGTTTTGTAAATCCAAATAATGATGTGAATTCCAATGATTTTCCATATAATTGCCACAATTGTGGAAGAAGAGGTCACAGACGAATAGATTGTACCCAAAGGAGAAGAGGATTTCAACCAGGCAGAAGATGGTCAAGAAGAGGAGCCTATATGGCAGAAGAAAACAACCAAAATAGTGACAGTTCTATTGCATTTTTAACAACAATGAAACAGGCAAGTACAGCTAACAATTTAAAAATTGATTTTGTTATAGATAGTGGTGCAACACACCATCTTGTTTAAGATAAGTTCAGCAAATACATCACTGAATCAAAAGCTATTGATTATAGCATAAATTCAGCAAAATCTGGTTTTGAAATAAAAGCTGTGCAGGAAGGAAACATGAAAGTTAAGATCGAGAACCAGGCCATCATAATAAACAATGTTTGGGTTTGTGATGGATTATTTTGCAATTTATTGTCAGTTCGGAAATTGGAAGAAGCTGGGTTAGAAGTCTTATTTAGAAATAATGAATGAATTAAGAAAGGAAAAATGGAAATTTTAAAAGGAAAACTAAATGGAAATTTATATATAGTCACCATGAACTTGTCTGGAAATGAAACAGCTTGCGACACAAGGGAAGATCCATATTTGACGCACAGAAAAATGGGACATACAGCAAAATTTCCTAGTCCTGGAATTTGTGAAATATGCATGAAAGGTAAGCAGATTAAAAAGCCCTACTGCAGAATACCTGATTTCAGAAAGCCAACTAGAATTTTGGAAACTATTTCTAGCGACGTATGTGGTCCCATCAATCCAGCAACGCATGGCGGAAACAACTATTATGTAAGACCACTATTCCCATTTCTGTGTTGTTTACCTAATTGCTCAGAAGAGTGAAGTAACACAAAAATTCGAAGAATTTATAAATATGACTTTCACCAAATTTGAGAGAAACATAGAAAGGTTACGCTGTGACAACGGTGGTGAATATATTTCTGGAAATTTTAAGAATCTATGTAAACATCATGTTATACAGATTCAATACACCGTTCCGACAAATCCCCAACAAAATGGCGTTGCAGAGATCTTTAACAGAAATATAATGAATATTGCAAGATGTTTAATTTTAGATTCAAGTTTATTAAAAATCTTTTGGGGAGAAGCTGTGAGATGTGCTGTTTACTTGTTAAATCGTACAGAAACAAGTGTGTTACCAAATAAAAAACCCCTACAGAAATTTGGTATGGGTATAAATCAGATCTCAACAAAATCAGACTTTTTGGATGTGAAGCATATTATTTAATCCCTAAAGAAGATAGGAAAAATAAACTTGATGCCCGAAGTAAAAAAATGATTATGATAGGATACTCTGACAACGGATACAGGCTATGGAATCCTGAAAAAAACAAAATTGTCTATGCAAGAGATGTAGTTTTCGATGAAAATAAGAATCAGAGGAATGTAACTAATATAGACATAAATGATGACATAAGCCAACAAGATGAGACAACAGAAGATTTAAAGGAAAACTTGGAAGAAGAAAAAGAGGAAAATGTTGAAAATATAGAAGAAACTAGAAAAATGGAAAAACTTAACAAATAATGAAAATAAACGAAACAGTACCCGAATTAGACATAAACTACGATATTTAGACGACTACAACCTGGATTTTGAAGAAAATTTGATGATGGCTTTATCAACTGGAAATTTAATAACAGATGTACCACAGACTTATGAGGAAGCAGTAGAGGATAGCGGATGGAAGACAGCGATAGAAGAAGAACTGAATTCAATGAAGAAAATGTCAACTTGGGAATTGGTATCACCTCCTCAACATCAAGAAATCATACATTCGAAGTGGGTATTCCGGAAGAAAAGTGTTAACGGAACTGAAGTGAAAAAA